TTACTTCCTCTTTTCACCATGATTGCCACTGTAACTGAGGACCAGATTCCAGTACTGTTGTTGCCAAATCTTTCCAGTTTGGGGGGAAAATCCTGTTCTGAGTTGATCATGAATTTAGTACCTGCTTCACATAGGATGATTGCATACCACAGTAGACAACCACTTCCTTAAATCTCAATCTAATGTGTGTATAGGATGACATTTAGATTCATAATAAGCTTGGGGGGGTGCCTACCATCTCCTGGTAGGTCTTTTATAGTAACCGAATAAACTCAGCCTAGTTTTCTTTCGCTTTTTGTTTGTTTGTTTGATTGATTCGTTGGTTGGTTGGTTGGTTGTTTTTTTGTTTTTTGTTCTCTTGAGGCAGGATTTCTCTGTAGCCTTGGCTGTCCTCACAGCGATCCATCTGCCTCTGCCTCCCTGAGTGCTGGGATTACAGGTGTGCACCACAAAGTTTTCTAACAATCCTGAGCTGTCCCTTTTCAGTTTCATTATACAGTGGCATGGTAGGCTCTTGTCTAAAATCATCTGTGTCTGAGAATTTTCCTTATTCTCATTTATAGGTGTTTCTAAGGCTTGTCTAAATTCCTCTGTCTGTGTCTGAGTATTTTTATTATTCTCATTTATTAGTCTAATTTTCCTCCTAAGGCTTGTATCTTACCAATACACTTTTCAAATTTTTCTTTTTCCTGTCTCTCTAAAGTTTTTTTTTTCTTTGAGCCAGTACAGAAAGCCATTATAGCTATTAAAGTATAAAATACCCAAATGACAATAATCATAACTGATATTGAGCCAATTTCAGTTAGGTTATTTAGCTTTTCATTTACTACTTTTTTATTTTTTTGTTTTTTGTTTGTTCTGTTTTTGAGACAGGGTTTCTCTGTGTAGCTTGGCTGTCCTAGACCCACAGAGATCTACCTGCTTCTGACTCCCCAAGTGTTGGGATTACAGGAATGCGCCACTGCACCCAACTTTCATTTACTACTTCTATTTTTAAGCCATCTGGAGTAGCACTAAACAGGTTCTAAATACTTCCTATCCTTAACTGTCCTAGAGGACTTCCCAGATGACTTCCCAAATCTGATGGCTTCTTAGTTTGTCCACAAATGGAGTGATCTCTCTATGGGGTCCTGCCACTCCTTGGAGTGCCAAAATGTTGTTATAAAATTTGAAAATCCCAACTGTTTATTTTACCAATGAAGACCCAGGAGCCAGATGCTCAGGTGAAAACCTGCTAGCTCAGAGAGGCAGAGAAAGCACCCAGATGACCATAACTCAGATCAAGTCCCTATGGAAAAAGCCTTTCTTACTCAGCTAATGTCCCAGATTAAAAAAAAAAAAAAAAAAACCCAAAAGCCTGGTAGCTCACCCAAGAGCCCAGGAGGAGAAAGCCAAAAGCTCAAGGCCAAAGATCTTAAGAGCCTAAGAACAAGAGAGGTCTGCTTCTTGACCTAGGTTTAACTTTTTTAAAATCCTATGTACAGAAAGCTCTAGCATTAACAGTGTGTGTTAGCACTGAATCACACCAAACAATACACAAATCTCGGGGTTCACAATGGGATCAAATATCCTGCAACAGCTTTATCTGGTTTCCCAGAAACAGCAATATACCAGAGTCATCCTAAAAGTGGAAGAGTGTCTCAAAAATATGAGAGCCATCAAGATTTGCTTCAATTTTGTCTAGAGAAAGCTAAGCTGCCAATATGGCAAAGTAGGTAAAAAAGCTTGCTGCCAAGCCTGAGCTGAGTTTGATCCCCAGAACACACATGATCTAAGAAGAGAAACAGCTCCTCTAAAACTGTTCTCTGATTTTCACATAAACCACCATGGTACACACACACACACACACACACATACACACACACACACACACACACACACACACACCCCAAATACATGTAATGAACAAAGTCCATAACTGTATCAAGACTCCATGCTTCCTATAATATATTTAACTCTGATAATGATGCTTATGACAAAAAGTTATATTCCTTCACTTCATTAACAGTGACAGTTTGGCTGGGATTAACACCCTCTTTCTCTTTCAAGAGTATCCTATTTTGTAGAATAAATCCTAAAAGTATCATCAATATATTAAATTAAGCTAATTTAATATAGCTTAATCTTCATTCTTTGAATCCTAAATGATCTCTGGACAAAACAGATTGTCATTACTATTATTCTCTTTCTGATATAGAGCCTCACTATATTTTTAATTATTTATTCCACTTTAATTATGCATTTATGTGTGTGTATGTACATGTGAGTGCAGGTACCCAAGGAAGAGAGAAGAGGGTGTTGAGATTCTCTGGAGCTGGAATTACATGCACCTGTGCGCTGCCCAATGTGGGTTCTGGGAGCCCAACTCATCCTCTAAAAAAGCACAGTGTGCTCTTAACCTGCGAGCCACCTCTGCAGCCCGGCCTCCCTGTGCTGTTCAAACTCCCAGTGTGGGTGACCTCAGTCTCTGCCTGGGTAGCCGGGGTTACAGGCGTGTGCCACTACATCTCATTAGTCCTTTTTTTTTTTTTTAATTTTTCATCTTTTAGAAGATTTCTAACTTTTATTTATGTTTATGTGCACCACCCATGTGCAGACACTCTCAAGGGCCAGAGGGCAATAGACCCAGCTGTGGGTGCTAAAATCCCAGAGTCCTCTCCATGAGCAGTGAGTGCTCTTAACTACTGAGCCATCTGTCCAAGCCCTAGTTCATCCTCTTCTTTTTGCTTAGGAAAACAAGAAAAAGGCCATGGCATTTAGCTTGCATGCAGAAAGCATTCTAGTGTTAAAAACTGTAAGAGCTGGGAGCAGTAGCTCCTTCATGCCCATCACCCCAGCTACTGGGAAGGCCAAGGGTGAGGTTTGGGTTAGTTGCTCATCTCTACAATTCAGAAAAACGCCACCTCAAAACAACAAGCAGCAAATAGAAAGCCAGGTGTGGGGGAGCACGCCTGTAATCCCAGCACTCGGGAGGAAGAGGCAGGTGGATCTCAGTGAGTTCAAGGCCAGCCTGGTCTATACCTCCAGGACAGCCAGGGCAACGCACAGAGAAACTGTCTCAGAAAGCCAAAAAACAAAACAACAAACAAACAAAGCACAAACCTATCCATGTCATTAATTTACAAGACCAATAATCTTGCCAACAAAAGTCAACTAGTTAGTAATAACTATATTATCACATTTCTTTCGGCAGTACCATCCTACACCACAATCTCTTATTTAGATTACTCATTAGACACTGTGGAGGAAGAGCTTAGAGTCAGGGTTGCTACCCTGCCACAAATCTGAAGAAAAGCATTTCCTAATATTGCAGAATGAACCCAAGATGACCCTGGTCTTGAGGCTAGCCTCAAACTCAAACGATCCTCCTGGTGGAATTACAGGTATGGGCCACACTCCCAGTTAAGAGTCTTAATCTAAGGAAGACTGGAGAGCCAAGACACAAGTAGAGTAAACTGTCACATATTTTTCCAAATAATTTGCAATTAAAATTCTTGAGGGGGGATAGAAAATCTGCACATACAGCTTGATAATAAAGCACTTGCCCAGCAAGCACAAAGTCCTGGGCTCATCCTCAGCACAGGAAGAAAAAAAAAAAGGAATCCCCAAACTCACTTTGAAAAGTTTTAAAGTCTAAAAAACTGAGTTTATACAATCATATTTAGTAGTTCAATAAATGTTATAATGCAAAATACAATGTGTAAATCTAGATGTGGAGGGCTAACAGTCCATAAAAGTGATCAACAGAGGCTTTTCTTACTAAATTTTAGGAGACTTGGCATAGCATGTTCTCTTCAGTAGCAATGGTACTAAACAGCTCTTTTCAGCTAGGCCGGAATTATGCCAATACTAAATGAAGAGCAAAATTCAACAACAAACTTTGTTGTTGTTTCTCCTGAAAGTGCCAAAATTGATTAAGAATGAGGAGCGCTGCACGCCAATAATCCCAGCAACTGGAAGGAGGCAGTGGCAGGAGGATCAAGAATTCCTGACGGCCTGAGCTACACAGTCTTTCAAAAGCAAACAAAACAACAATAAACAAAACAGTTAACGAAGATTTCCGTGCAAAATGCTAAGAAACCAAATTGGTTCAACATTTATCTCCCCCTACAGGAGAGATGCAATAACCACGTTTGTATACTCTCCCTTCACCGCGTTTGACCCTCACAACCCCGTAAAACACGCTCAAACTTCGGCTGTTCCGCGGACTCTCCCCAGATCAGCGCTAACTTGCCAACCGAACAGCAGCAACTTCCACATAAAAAGCCCAGTTATTTTAGTACGGTTTAATTTTACAAACAAATCGGGAGCTTCACTCAGCATTTCCATTCTAACTTTAACCCCCCCCCCCCCCAAGACTTTACTAAATAGAGCGGACTGGCTTCGAACGCCTAATCTTTTATCTGCATCCACAGGGTTGCAGGCGTGCGCCACCAAATACAGGCCGGTCTCAATTTTTTTTTTCTTTTTTTCTAAACTGCAGTTGCTGCAACCCAAATAAAGCCCCAAGGGCCATATTGCATGGGTCAGCATTCGGACGCAGTGGCACAACCCAGTTTCTATCGCGCCGGCTACCGTGGGACCAGCCGTGCGCGACGCGGACTCCGAGGCAACTGTCCTGGCTCGGGCGCTCGGAAACGCCGCCAAAACCCCACCTCGGCAGCAGCAGTTAGGTCTACCTGAGACTCTCACCCCACCCCTCGCCCGGCGAGCGAGCCCGGCCGCGCGTCCACTCACACTCCCACCCGCTTCCAGCCGGCGGCCAAGTTCACCCAAACTTTGCCCCCGCCCCGTCGTCAGCGCGTCCCGGTCGCCGACGCGCGGAGGCACGAGCCGAGCACGGCCGCGCTGCCCGGTCACCCACGCCGCGGCCCCTACCCGTCAAGGAGAACCTGAGGTCCCACCTCTTCCTGTCGCTCCCTCGCCCCGATGGCCATTTATGTAAATGGGCACGGGAGTGACCCCGGGGGACCCGAGCGCCGCCCGCGGGGCGCACTCACCGGCCTCCGGGACGTCCTGAGCGGGCGGCGGCGCGCCGGTGCCCACGGGGGACAGGTGCTGCGGCGGCTTCTTGGTCCACGGGTTCCCCTTTGGCGGCGGCGGCGGCGGCGGCGGCGGCGGCTTGTCCTCGGGGCCGGCGGCCGCTGCGTCCTCGCGGGCGTCCTCCGGTGGGTCCCGCGGCGCCGGCGGAGGTGGCGGCGGCGGCGGTGGTGGCGGCGGCAGCGGAGCCTCCCCGCCGAAGGGACCCCCGGGCGCGCGCGCCTTGTGCGCCAGGTGCAGCGCCAGCGGCCTCACGGGCACGGCCGCTTGCGGCACGCTGTGTCCCAGCACGAGCGCCGGCGACGGCTCTCCCCGCGCCCCCGCGCTGGTGGCGGCCGCGGCCCGCTCCTCCCTCGCCTCCTTGCCCTCCCGCTCGCCGGGCGCCGGCTGCTCCGCCCGCCGGCTCGCCGCTGCCAACAGCGCGTCCCGGTCGCCGGCCACGGCGGGCGGGTCCTCCCGGGGGCCAGCGGCGGGCACCGGGGCGCGAGCGGACATGGCCGGCCCCTGGCCCCAGTCACCTGCCCAGCCGGGGGGCGTCCGGGTCCAGGGAGCCCGGCCGCCCCTCTCTCCACACGGGGGCACCGACCCGCTTCGGTCCTGGGACGCGGAACCCGCCCGCCGAGGCGTGCAGCGCCCGGCGTGCCGCTCCTCCCCGCCCGCCGAGCGGAGCGCTAACCGCCCGCCGCCCGGCCTCGTCGCAGCGCACGGCCGGAGCTCGCCACACGCGCCGGGCGCGCCCGAGCCGCGAGCCCTCAGCGGGCGCGGGCGACAGCGCGGAGCTCCAGCCAGGCTGAGCGATCTTTAGGCGAGCCGCGGAGGCGCGCGCGGCCTGAGCCGGTAACTGCCCCAGGGGGCGGGGCGTGCAGAGGGCGAGGCCGCCGGGGGCGGGGCGGCAGAGGGCGAGGCGGGCCAATGGGCGGGGTGCGCAGGTGGGCGGGGCGTGCAGAGGTTGAGGCGGCCCAGTAGGCGGGGCGTACAGAGGGGCGGAGCTCCGAGAGCCCGGGCGTGCGGAGGGCGAGGCGGGCCAGCGGACGGGGCGTGCTTGAGACGAGCCCGCCGGGTGGACCGGCGTGCCGTAGGCTAGGTGCCCAAGGACCGGGGCGGGGCGAGGAGGGAGGCAGGGGGAGGGGCGGGGCTGGCCGAGGGCGAGGCGGGACAGGGGGCGTGGCACTCTGGAGAGTGACGTGGCTACTCGCAAGCCTCCCCAGTCCCTGTGGCTGCGCGCGACCGCGGCCTGCCCAGTCTTTCCGAGTACCGCGGGCGTGTTTCGATGTGGCCCCCGCCCTAGCGGCGGGCGAGGCTGAACCTGCTACTCTTGGGGCGCAGCCGGCATCTGTGACCCAGGGACAAGGACTTTCCCCGGGGATGAAGCCCTGCAGGATGGCAGCTGCTCGGGACCGGGGAAAAGTTTCCCAGTGACGCTGTGGCCTCCGCCGGCACTCCGGAGCCGGATGCAGGACCAGGTGAAGACCCGTCCCCGACGTTCCAAGGCGTGCACTTGTCCGTCCTTATTCCACCCCCAACAGACAACGAAATGCTTTTCGAGTGCCCTTGAGTAAAACAAATACTTAACATTTCGCCACCTTCTCCATTTTTTACTCTTTTAGTGGGATTTCTCTAGTCGAGATCGCCCTGGAAGACATCGACTTAGACCAGTCTGGTTCTGAACTCGAGGGAATGCACCTGCGTCAGGCTTTTAAATACTGGAATGAACAACAACAACAACAAAAAAGCAAGCCTGGCAGGTAGTGGCGCAGGCCTTTAATTCCAGTACTTGGGAAGCAGAGGCAGGTGGACCTCTGTGAGTGCGAGGCCAGTCTGGTCTACAGACCGAGTTCCATAACAGCCAGGGCTACACAGAGAAAACCTGTCTAGGGAAAAAAAAATATGGAGGCGTGAGAACCACGCAAGCAGCTAGTCTTGAACTTTTTTTTTTTTTTTTTTAAGATTTATTCTTTCAGATTTCCCTGCTACTGCGCTCCTAGGGCTTGTATATAAGGAGCACAGCCAACGGCTTTGAACATTCACAGTGTCTCCATCTAGAAGATTTATTTTTTAGACCCGCCTGCCTCCGCCTCCCAAATGCTTAAAGGTGCGCACTGCCTAGCCCAGCGTGCGTTACTCTGTTTAATTATAGGCGCCGCGCGCGCTCGTGTGCGTGCGTGCCCGCGCACTAGGGTGCAGGTGTTCTGGATCACCAGACGTATTGGATCCTCCTTAAGCTAGAAGTACAGGCCGTTGTGAACTGCCCAACAGGGGCAAGCGAGCAGCAAGAGTTCTTAATCTTTAAGCCATCTCTTCAGCCCCTTGGCTTTGAACAACTGACTAAATGAAAAATAAAAGAAAGAACTTTAAAAGGAAAAAATATGACTGCTCCTAGTATGGTGGAGGAGTCCACAGTGGACGTGATCTGGGACTTGTGAGGAGAGGGGGAGGAGATGGGAGAGAGGGAAACAAGTTGCTGCAGCCAGGAGGCCAAAGGTACAAAAGGGGCATGTACCAGGTTGGATTATATAGGAAAGGGGAGCCCAGTCCCCTGGGCTCGAGAGTTCAGGAGAGGAGGTGGGTTGTACCAGCCAGGAGGGCCCTGTAACAGGTAGGGACCGAGGAGTGCCAAGAGAACCTGGCTGCCAGGGCTGCTTTGTTATGTTAAACAGGCACACACACACATACACACACACACCCCCGCCATTTGTCTCAGGTTTGAGACTTAACATTGACCATGACTCCACTTCCCTAGAGCTGAGATTAGAGGTGTGCCATCACTCCCAGTTTATTACACAGTCCTCAACCTGTGGAAATAGCACTTGATTACAATTTAACTGTATTCCCAGTTTTGCTCCCCCGCAATGGGTACCCAATTCACGCAGTATGGATACATTTTGATAGCCTAGTAAGATCTTCCTGTTTAGCTTTGAAAGTTGATTTGAGGTGATATTGGCCGCACACACTTATGGTTTAATAAACTTAGATTCTGCAAGGTCATCAAAGCCATTTCTACTGGTGAAAAGTTTTTCTTCACACCACCCCCAACCATGTTAAATCCCACCATTTCACACATTACACCAGCTATAAACTTTTCTTGTTTTCCACACAGAAATCTTCAGTTTACCTGACCCTGAGCAACCTCCTGAGATTGGCTGCTATTCAATGAGGACTCTACTTTCATTTGTATTGCCCAATGCTACTTTCTCCCACCTCCCCCGTGGCAGGGTTTCTTTGTGTAGCCTTGGCTGTCCTATAAAAACTCTGAAGAAGCAGCTGGCCTCTAAGTGACAGAGATCTGCCTGCCTCTGCCTGAATGCTGGGACTGAAGGTGTGTGCCACCACTGCTTGGCTGCTAGCTGTTCATGTGGTAATCAGTTTTTTGTTTCTCAAAGTCCTGTTAGGAAATACTTAACTCTTGTACAGAATTGTACCAACAAATACCAATCAATGGGATTCTGAACACATTCTATTTCTTTTTAACCATCAGATTATTGAAATACAAAACTGAGTCAGTGGAGGAAAAGTCACAGCCTTCTTAAGCAGGGTGACAATGTCTCTAGGAAACAGTATTTGTTTTGCAGGGAGAGAACTGGAGGGCAGTTGTGGTCTTGGGACTCTAGAATACAGCATGGCAGGGTTTTAAAGATTTTATTGTAGTGCATTGTTACTGCTGCTGTGACATGAGTCTGCTCTCTATTATCTGTCATTTGAGGACTTACTAAGAGCTCCTGCTTTTATGTAACTGTAACTGCTTCTTTTTTGTTGTTGTTGTTCTTTTCTTTTCTCTTCTTTTTGTTTTTGTTTCTCAAGACTGGGTTTCTCTGTGTAGCCCTGGCTGTCCTGGACTTACTCTGAAGACCAGGCTGGCCTCCAACTCAAAGATCTCCTTGCTTCTTGCTAGGATTAAAGGCTTGCACTACCATGGTGTGGTCATAACTGCTTCTTTTTTAAAAAATATTTTATTTAACTTTATATGCTTTAGTGTGAAGGTGTCAGATCCCTTGGAATTTGTGTTACAGATAGTTGTGAGCTGCCATGTGGGTGCTGGGAATTGAACCCAGGTCCTTTAGAAGAGCAGACAGTGCTCTTAACCACTGAGCCATCTTTCCAGCCACATAACTGCTTCTTGTAAATAACTTTGATTTTGTTGTTGTTACTCCTACATATTCACTCTTGCCTTTCTCTATTCTTCGTCTTCTTCTTTTTTTTTTTTTTTTTTTTTTTTTTTTATGAGACAGGATTTCCCTGTGTAGCCTTGGCTGTCCTGGACCATGCTGGCCGCAAACACACAGAGATCCACCTGCCTTTGCCTCCCCGAATGCTGGGATTAAAGGAGTACACCACCGTACTGGCTTCTCTATTCTTTTTATTTGTTTTATGTTTTGTTTTTAAAGAGCAAGCAAGCTTTTATTAAAAAGTAGAGTTGCTGAGGATTGGTGAGGGGTGAAACACACCTATAATCCCAGCACTCAGGAGGCAGGTGGATCTCTGAGAGTTTGAGGCTGGCCTGATCTACAGAGTCAGTTCCAGGACAGCCAGGGCCATACAGAGAAACCCCGCTTCAGAACAAAAAGCAAAACAAAACAAAGTAATAGCTCCCTGGGAGTGCCTGGGAAATGGGTCATCCTGTGTTTTCTTTTGGTTGGTTGCTTTGTATTTTTTGCTTTGTTTTATTTTGGTTTGTTTGTTGTAACTGAGTATCATTAGGTAGCCCAGCCTGGCCTGGAACTTGCTATGTAGCCTATGCCGACTTCAAATTTACAATCCACCAGACTTAACCTCCCAGGTGCTACCTATTGCTGTAGCCATGTGCCACCATGCTTTGCAATCCTCCTTCTCCTGACTTTGTTCCAGAGAAGTCTAAATCCCTAGATAGTAGCAGTATGCAGTCTTGCCCTCCAGTATCTGAATATTAGAAAGGTCTAAAGGTATGGAAGTTCACAGTCCTCATTCCCCAAGGTGGATCACCAAAGGTTATCTGTAGAGCTCTCTCTTTACATGGTCTTTTACATTTCTAATCTTTGCCCTTGTGGGTATAGAGATAATAATACCAGCCCTCCGGGAACTGTGCTATGCTGTGATTTTTCTGAAGGTTGCCCATACTTCTAAATAGTCCTTTTAGCAACTTCAAATTATAAGCTTTGAGTATGCCATCTGTTAGTGGCACCCTAGCTGAGCCAATTTGCCATTGCTAACCTCTGTTCCTTGACGTTTCCTTTATGGCTGGTATATAACTAATGCCAGATTCTCCATTTCCTAGTGGAGAATCATGGAGGAGCCAGGCAAGGTGTCAGGCACTTGTAATCTCAGCTACTCAGAGATGTGGAGGGATCAGTTAAACCCAGAACTTTTGAGGCCAGCATAGACAAACAGGAAGAGCTCTGTGTCAAAAACAGTGCTGGAGTGAAAGCCCAGATAGAGTCTGCTAAGCAAGCTCTTTACCACTGAGTGATTACTTCAGCCCAATTTTCCTAGTCAGAGTAAATGAGTCTCTAGCCAGTCTATGAATTATTTGTCCTTGGGTAGGGATTATTTGTCCTAGCCTGGAGGAACAAGTTACTTGGTTCAGAACTTTACCATC